AATTTAGTGGTGGTAGTATATAAAGAAAGGTTGTATATAAGGATATAGTACAGGAAGGAAGAGAGATATGAAGCAATTTTAGTCTCAAGGTTTAAGGGAAGATAAAGAGTGTATACACCTACGCCATTGTGACCGATTCTCAGCCATGTCACCCAGAGTCTCTAACCATTGGTTACGATAGTCACACGGACCCTAACCAGGTAGTCCGCATCTGCCAACATGGCTCAGACTAGAAGTTAGTGACTTCAAACACTGATGCCACGTTTTGGTTTGGCCGCCCCTAACTCTCTTCCAACAATCCCCTACACTAGTCATCATAGCGCGTCGTGGTAATCGGTGTTCAGGCATACGTAACACATGGCCCAACCATCTCAATCGATGAAGATTCATGACCTCATCAACTGATTTACCAACATTCCCTAATACCCTGCGTCTAACCTCACTATTACTTACCCGGTTATCCCAGCAGATGCGAGCAATATTTCTAAGGCATCTGTGGTCAAATACTAGTAACCTACGAGTATCTTCTACTCTTAATGGCCATGTTTCGCAGCCATGCAGTAAAACATAACGAACTGCTGCGCAGTATACTCGTCCCTTAATTGATAGACGGATATCTCGTCTTCGCCATAGGTGACGTAAGTTGGCAAAAGCCGAACGAGCTTTTTGAATCCGTGCTGAGATTTCGTCAGACACCAACCCATTAGGGTTGATCAGACTTCCAAAATAAGTGAAGTTGTCGACGCGTTCGACTACTTCACTCCCTATCCTTAGTTCAGGTGTTGACGCAGGCCAGTCCTGGAGTAACAATTTACATTTGGATGGGGAGAAACGCATCCCAAACATCCTGGCATTATTACTGAGTTCCAACAGAAGACTCTGCATTTTGCCAGTGTCGAGATTTTGAAAATCAAAACAGGGTATGTAATAATCTGGGAGTTAGAGATGAATTAGAGGATGAAAATAATTTACAGATCAGAATTATGAGAGATAATTTTCCATTTGACAGATATGAAGAAAAATGAAAAATACAAAAGTCATAATATCAATTGAATAATAATCATGAATAATTGTTAAACAATAATAATGATTGATTATGGTTTAAAATCACAAAACAACAATAAAAACAAAAAGAATACTACAGAAGGGAACTAGAGCCAAGGGAGGGTGAGAGGTTGGACGTATAGTTTTTTACGCAGAGTTCGGGTTTGAATTGGTGGATCGCCAATATCTTAACAGTACTTAAGCTTTTGATTCGACCCCCAATCCATTATTTTGAAAGCAAACTCCTCTGGGGGCAAGTTGTCCAGAATTGATTAGGTACTCCTGTATTGAACTGGTGATTGTTTTGCATTCTGTTTCTATTCATTGACAAAATGGGTTATACCTACAAACAACTAAAGAATATCAATAACTGAACATTTTTAAATTGTCTCGCCACCTCTACAAACATATTTATAAGTAAACTATAAAAATCTTCAATATTTTCTCGGTTAAGTGATATACATATTTTTAAAAGTTATATGTAATAGGAACAAAGTTTATGCAGAATATTTGTGAAACACAGAGGGTATCTCTGTAACTCACTAATAAACTTAGTTGAGTCATAAAATAGATATGGATAAAGTTAACTTTTTCCTATTAATTATACGATAAGTTATTGATTAGTGTCAGAAATAGTTGATATGTGCGAATTATAGGTGCTAGAGTTTAATAAACTGTAATTTCATACTGTAGTTTGATATGATTCCTATTGTTTGTCCTTGTTATTTCTGTGGAATGCCTAACTGAATTGTGCTTGATAACAGAAACCAACCTTACATCCGGCAATGCGCAGTCAAAACACAAAGAATCAGGAAATAAATCAAACTGATATTTGAAAATACTACTCTTCATATGATTTATTCCCAGTCAGATTAATATTTAGATTTGTGTAATTTGAACTAAGTAGTAATTAATATCAATTAATTACTAACCTACTGTGTGAGTTCATCAAAATATCATACACTTAAGCATTCCTTGTCAAGATGTGATTAGATGTCACAGACGATTACGAATAAATCATTTTTATATGTCATTCGCACTACAATTGACCAAGTCACTCCTCACCAAATCAGTTCCCAAGCATAGATCAAGGCCAACTATACCCCAGTGTATTTGTCACAACAAATAAGTCATATCTTAGTCATGAAGTTTATTAATATATCGAAATTTTGGTAGAAAGAAATATTTGATTTGTTCCCATCTAGTGCTTACTTCATTCGGTATGAAATGTTACTGATTAGATAAATCATTGCTGAAGTACGCTGGCAGTATTTAATTGTCATAACTAGGTTGTAATGAAGATTAGTAATAAAACAATTAAATGTATACCGGCAACTACTGTGAATCGGAATTGTGGTAATTATATGTTATTTGAATATGTCACTGGTAGGAAGAAAAGTGGTATTTAGCGTGTACAATAGCTGAAACAGTTATTCGATACAGCAACGAATCCTTTTTTCAGAGCCTGAATTCTAAAGGTCACGAATTATGCAAAAAAGTGCTGATAAAAGCATACACAATCCAAGTGAGGGGAAGATTGATGAACATTAGGCCAATGACGAAGTTAATTTTCGATATCCAAGTGTACATGGGCTAAGACATGCAGTGTGTTAAATTTTTGAACCAGGGTTAGCAACTTTTCTCGATTTCTGTTGTAATGGCTGATGCTATGTCAAACCCACATAGGCTATTCTAGCTTCTAGATGTACCAATTTATTCATTCTTATCAAGCTACATTTTGACCTTGTCACTTATTCGGTTATCAAGCCTGACTGTTTTTATATGATCGTGTTTGCGTGTATTACTTACTCTATTCATCGAATGTCTGTAACTTATTTTTGTTTGACTTGTAGTGACCTGCTTTTATGACGAGAACGCGATTGGTATATTGGAAACAATCATTTCTATAACCAATTGTACCAGTGATTGTTTTACTGTACTAGTTTGTTTAACTGTACCAAAGACACTTTTCCTTCCATCGCCTGTAACCTTGCACGAGCTCGCTTATGCTCGGTAATCCCCCTTGTGATCTTTGGCACGTCTCGGTATTCTTTCGATACCACGAGATCACCAACAAATATATCTTATTACAACCATTAACAGCCTTCTGGTTTTTGGCCTACGAGGGATCCACGTCGATCCCTGGCACATAATCTTCCTGTAGTGGTGATCATAGTCAATCGCGACTCGATGCCATCTACAGACTAAAAGTATGGATTCATGCTTAACAAACTCGAGTTAGCTCGCATTCCTATTTTTTTCGTAAACTAGCGACCTTGTTGCTGAGCATATAAATTTCTGAGAACTGGCGATTAGAAAGAAGTACTTAGTCAAGCTTTTTATAACCTCACGTTCCGATACCTCATGCGAAGCACCACCCAGACAACTAGCTAGTTATGATACTATCATTTACATCTTTCCCTCTGATCATAATTGAAGTTTGGCTTTATTGGCTTTGAGATCATTTCATTGTAAGAGATTCGGATAGTAATAATGTCGAACCCTCCATATCTAATACCTCTTCAGTCGTAAAACAATGCCTGTAAATTTCTAGAAATTTAGATAGCTTGACTACTTACCTGTTCTAAACCTTTATTCAAGACTGCATCTAAGAAAAGCTCCCGTATAGCATGCACATGAAAGGAACCCAATTCCCTTGAAGCCTGTTCAAAGAACAGCGAACAAACATAATACTTAAATTATAAAACAAACACTTATCGCCTTATTCGATAACACAGTAGCAGTACATAAACCTGAAAAATAAATAACATTTTAAGTTTTCGACATTGATGTTGATCTCATTTGTTTCAATGAACACACCTATCTGAAGGCTCTCATTCATGCACCCAGACCAGACCGCTAGTGGAAACGCCACGCATCCATTGCAAGTGCTTGCTAGCTTGGACCGAGCGCTTCTCAACGTATCAGAGTATACCTTCAAACCCCTTCGTTTCTGTCTTCCGATTTGACTGGGTTGATATACTTCGATTACAAAGGTGTTACGAGTAAAGGCGTTGTCAAATTCCGAATATTTGTGACATCTTCAGCAATGAACATGCAACTATAACAATTCAAAAAAAATGAAGTAAATTTGATCATAGTGTATCATACTCTGTACATTTCTTCATTCCAACAGCCCAGTTATACGCTTCAGCACGAACTGCATCTAATGGGACATATGATTACGATAGCACGTGAATGAAGACACCCGAAAATTCGTACATACTTTTTCAAGGTTATAACCTGTAAATGGTGGGATCATAAAATGGAAGCCTGATGGTTACAAAAGATAGCTTGACATTTATTTCATTCGAGTAATTGCTCAGGTAAATGTTTCTACTTGTCACCAATCAGTCACTCTTACCAATCCATACGTTGCCCTTAAGATTTGAAAAGGACGAAAATTCAAAACATCTCTCCATGACTACTAACCGTTTTATATTACCTACAATACCTGGACAGAGCGGTGTTGTTGGAAGCTTGTATTTTCCACTCTCATCTACTATCAAGAAATAGTCATTGGTGAGAGAATTATGTTTACGTATGTTGAAAACATAAGAGCCTCGATGACCACCTTCATCAATAAGAATTTACATGCTATGAACATTTTTGGCATGTTAACACAATGCTACTACATTCAACATTGTTTACACAGTTGAGAAATAATTTTCTGTTCCTAAACTTGTTGAAAAGTGTCTCTGGTTTTTTTATATTGAAATTATTTTGCAGCGAAAATACGGTGTATACGCTACATGTTTTCGGGGCGGGTTCTGGGCGCTTTCATGTTTAGTGTTGGGTTTTTGTGTGGATATTATTTCCATATTCTTCATCTAAAGTACCTTCGTAAAAAGCAAAACTTCTTCCAGAACCATCTCAGAGACGTTGAAAACAAACTCAAGAGTTACTAACCATCCGGCCTTACAACAACCTTAAGAAGGTCGACTGTTACTCGTCTAATGATGTCCTCTCAAGTTAAAGAAGATTTATATGGTGTATCATGGTCTAATCCAGCATGGAGTCACTTCCTTTGTTCGGCAAACGTTCTCGACTATTTCTGCGACCTTTCCAATCCTTTTTATGATAGGCAGTGCAATAATGAGGTTATTCGAATGCAAAGACTCCATCCTGAGCAGCTCTTGTGTATGACAGGTATAGAGTTTTATCTTCATCACGCTCAAGTAAGTCTGTCCATTGTGTAACTTTTTAAACCACTAAGTCTTGACTAACAGCCTAGTTAATTCCTAAGGCTTCGTCACGCTTAACTCTAGCCTCTCCAAGAACTACCCATGTAGTGTGTCTAGTTTACCCACCTAACAACAAAGGTATGGCTTAGCTCATCATTTCAGTGCCTCATAGAACGCTCCGTATGGGTGTTAAGGTGTGAAAATAAGTTCTAATATCTAACCTGTAAACTGAAAGTGAAAACGGCGACTATCATTTATGGACGAGCTTTGAACGAATCTTAATTCACCTTGAGAAATATTAGCCAAATAACAAACACTTAGTTTAGATTAAAAATATATAATACAAAGTCAAAAGGTTGAAGTGGATACACTTCTTTTATATGGTCCTAAATCCTGTCAAGGTTAGAAAGAGGTTCAAATGTTCTAAAATCGTAATGCACAAGGTAGAGGAACTCATCCATTCGGCTCTCTAATGGTCGGTGTCTGGAGTCATGATAAGGTCATAAAAACCCTCTCAGCCTCGACCACACAGCTTCATTATTGTGGAGATAGTGGACAGCTTTGTCGGACACCACTTGAGGTTGTAAAATCAGATGACATTTCGTCATAAGCACTGACTCGACCGGTAGTGTCCGAGTAAAGAGCCTTCACAAGGTTTATGTAATTCTGAGGTACACATTTCAATGACAGACACTGCCACAGAGCCTCTCGGTCTACAGAGTCAAATGCTGCTTTTAAGTCAAGAAAAACTATCATTGTCCGACGCCGATAAGCATTTCCGTGTTCTAAAACCTGACGAATGGTGAATATGTGGTCGATACAGCCACGACGAGGTCTAAAACCAACCTGATTTTCTCGTGTTTGGAGTTTGCCAGTTTTAGTTGGGCGCCCGATAATTATTGAGGCTAGTATTTTATATGCTATGTTAGTCAAACTAATCCGTATATGGTTATTGCAGGATGATTTTTATTCCTTCTTATATATTGGGACAATAAGTGATTGTGACCAGTCAGATAGGATTAGGTCCAACTCCCAGAGTCGGGAGACCTACCTGAATGTTTTATTCGGACTGTTTGGGAATGGTGGGTAACTGTAGAGTAGCTGAATTCCAGCTTAGATGTTCTCTAAAGTGTTTTGCTCAACGTTCTGAACGTCTGGGCTGAGAACAGATAAGAGTTTCGTCTTTTTCCGAGATTGTCCCGCTTACGCTTGACTCCCTAAGTACAGTTTCTTTTATTAATATGAAGAGTTATCTGGCGTTGCCTACAGCCGTTGCATTTTCCATTTCTTTTGCTTTCATTGCCCACCACTGCTCACGATCGTTCCTTAGGCTTTTGGTTAACCTAGAACTGATTTGCTTACGCTCTCCATCGTGTTCAGAGTCTGATGAGATGAGTTTACGAGAATCCATCAGTGTAATAGGCTTGGAAGAAATCCATTGGCTTTTTGTAACCTTTTGGTTTAAATTACTAATAGATGTTACTGCTGTTCGTAAATCTTTCCAAGCAACAGCTGGGTCAGTCTCGTTTACAAACTGCCTAGGTGTGAACTGAGTTGTTCCTGAAACTTGCTTATGGCTTTCACGTCTCTCAGTTCAATTCTAGTGGGTCTTCTTAGTGTGGTTTTTCTGTGTCCACTGAGGCGTAAGTGAATGCGTGCTCGTATTAAAGCATGATCAGAGTCCAAACATGTATTCTAGTACGAGCTACAGTCTTCTATCGAGCCTCTCCAACAATAACTGATGGCAATATGGTCTGTTTGAGTCCATCGTTGGTTTGGTGCAGGTGGTCGCTATGTTAGACGGTGTCTCCTGCTTAAAATTAGTGTTTGCTAAAAATAAATGATTGTCTAAGCGCAGTTGCAGCAGACGATCACCATTATCTGTTCGCTGAACCGGGATACTGAAATACTCACCAAAATGTCTTTCCGTTTGGTTTAAGCTACCTACTTGGGCATTAAAGCCTCCTGCTACAAGTAGTATGTCTGAGCGTTTAGCTTTTTGAAGAAGTTCAGAGAGCTTTCTGTAGTCGAGGATCCATTCTAATAGTGTTTGTTCTGCTCTTGTACTAAGTGCTATGCCTACACCTGCAAGTTCATGAAAACTAGCCATCAGGTCGCGAGATACGTGGAGGGTTATCTCGTCGGCTCTCCGTTTTCGCTAGGTGAGGTCGAGTGAACGACCACACTAGGATCCTGTATGCGTGTTTCCGAGACAGCATACATCAACGATTCGAGATTCTAGGGTTTTATTCAGAGAGGCCTGCTGGCCGATTCGACATATGGTGCGTATGTTCAAGGCTCCAAACGCGTGGCCATGTGAGAGCATTTCGAGAAGGATAGTTAGCTCTCCCCACTCTCGGCCGTACCAGAGTATTTGGGGGCATGCCTAACATGACCCAACCACCTCGATTGATGAAAATTTACTACGTCGTCAATCGATTTGCCGTCCCTACCTAGTGCCCTGTTCCTAATCCAGGCATTGCTTAATCAGCGTTTCCAAAATACACAGGCACGGCTTCAAAGAAACCTGCGATCGAATAACAGTAACCTACAAATATTCTCTATTCTTAATGGCCATGTTTCACATCCATAAATTAGAACGGATCGAACTGCTGCGTAGTAAACGCGTTCTTCGGTTGACAGATGGATATATCACCTACACCACAAGTAACGCAAGTTGGTAAAAACCAATTGGGCCTTCTGAATCCGTGTCGAGATGTCATCAGGAACGATGAAGATTCCAAGATGAATGGAGAGGTCGATACTCTCGACTACTTCATTCTCCATCATTGATTCAGGCACTGACACAAGCCAATCCTGAAGCAACACTTTGCACTCGGAAGGTGAGAATCCCATCCCAAACATGCTTGCACTGTTGCTTAAAGTAGTCAGTGCTTCACCAAACAGATTTACGACATTTTGATATTCTAAGTCAACAAGTGAATCTTCTGGTAAAAGATCAGCCTCTCAAAGGTCATAAGAGGAAAGTGTTATCTGTAAAAGCATGTCTATGGCAAAGTCAAATGGAAATGGGGAAAACGGACAACGCTGACGACTACCAATTGAAGCAATCAATTCCGAAGACAGTTTGCGATATGCTTTGGTTCGACCAGTGGTTTCTCAGTAGAGAGCTTAGACATAATATCCCTTTCAGTGTCAGACACTGTCACAGAACCTTACAATCAACTAAGTCGGACATCGGAAATTATGTCCAAGTCCCAGAACCTGCCAAGTTGTGAATGTTTGGTTTATACATCCACGTCCAGACATGAGACGCACATGGTTTTCTTGGGTTCGCTCTTTACGAACTCTGGTTAGGCGTCGAATTATCAATAAGGCTAATATTTTAGATACCATATTAGTTAAACAGATTCCTCTGTGATTGTCACATTAGGATTTTTGTCCTTTTTTATAAATTGGAGCGATCGTGACCTGTCAGATAGAATTACTTCCAGTTTCCATATTCTAGTTAAGACTTAAACATACAAACTTAAGTGGGATCTATTGTCAAAATATGTATTTAGTTTTGTTAGTACACTTAGACGCTAATTATGTCACTATTTTGTATCATAGACTGGATCCTGTGTAGCTCAAATGTCCAATTCTATGCTCTAGTTGTGTCAAAATCTGTTTACTAGGAAAAGCAATGAAGCTTTTTCGAAAGATTTAGTATTAAAGCATTTCATTAGATATTATTGGGTACTTAATTATAGTGGTGAATCTCGTCTATAAAGAAATTTTTACTTAGAAACCAAGATCAACATTAGAAGTAATGAAAGCAAAAAAGATTGCTAATTTCTTTTCATTTTTCATAGGAACCTATACTGTTCATAATACGAAAGCAGCAACGTTTATCTCCCACTCAAGTCACTCCATTGGCTTATTACTATGTGATTAACGGGACGGTACTTCAAGCGCCAGATCTTTCTACTCTCCTGAACTCTCGTCTATTGACAGCAATTGTAGGGTTGAAGAAAGTAATCCAGGTATTATTTTTGGTTTCGGCATCATTAACCGTATTCTCATTGTTTGAATTTCAATTTGGAAATATTGTCTGTTTGTATGCATAACATGTCAAGTAGATCCTGAGTTTGACAAAACTTCCAACAGAATAATCAGGTTTCCTTTCATGTTATCGATTTTTAATCGTTTTTGAATTTCTTCTACTGAAACCTGCACCTAATAAACTTCAGGTACATATCACAGCGTAAGTTTTTTTCGTCTGTCACCCAACAATGCCTGTTATGTTGTCCTCCAACTTGTACATAGAAAACTGCGGTATACTTATTGGTCCATTCTTCCACGTTACCCTTTATTTGATTGAAGATAATTTTTAAGCCTTTTCCACATGTCTTCGGCGTTGTTTGTGTGTATTTTAATAGAGGGATCTACAAGGTACCGTTTGTGTTCACGACAGGTGTATCAAAATCATGGTAAACATTTATAAGTCCTCTAGTCATACGTTATCGTTGCTGTCCCTTAAATCAACGTATTTCTTAATTATGAGTTTCACAACTGATGCCACACCATCTGAGTAATCTCCTTTTTTACCTTTGGTCTAGTACATAAACTCATTTTCCTAACCAGCATGGTTTCGCATCTTTAACGTCAAATTAAAAAGATTTGTTATTTAACCTCATTGTAGTAATCTTAAGACAAAAATCCGATTTGAAAAATACAAAAAGCTTTAAGCTGATATAATATACTCGTTAGTAATTATAAAATTTGTGCTTTTGTAGACATTAGGTCCTTGTGCTCGATATCATCCTTCAGACGGTTCCTATTCATGGGATGACCCTAATGTTTTGCTTGGATATAATAAAGAACCAGATCAAACTTATGCAAAATCTCAATCTACCTCAAATACTGAAAGAGATTTATATAAAAGTGCAAATTTATTTCAAGTTCAAAGAACAGATACCCTACTTGCTGACTGGATGAATCGCTTTCCCGTCCCATCAGCAAGTTTTATTCAAAATCTGGCCAACTCAGGACAAACGTCATCTGTAGCGATAGTTACTTCTGCAGTTAACGCGAGTGGAGTCGTTTCTCTTACATCAGCTCAAACCGTAAGAATCTATTCACACAACTAATGCAATCATTTAATGTGTATTTATTCAAATTAGACTTTACTTAAAAATTATTAGTAATCATAGTCTAAATCATGAAGTGATGTCGAAAAAAACACCATAACCAGGAAGCACTGGACAACTATTTCGTACTACTTTTAATGTTTGAACTACCGTGCTCTTACGGTAGAAATCAGAAATAAACAAGAAGAGAAACTTGAAATACAATTCTTGTTTGGTGGTCACAGTATTTCTAGTTTACTTTGTTTAATTTACATGCACTTTTACTAGTAAGCGCTGTAGATATTTACAGAGTTTCAAATTCTTGATGTATAACACACCGTTAGTTTTTATATAGAGTAAGCATAGCTGAAAGATCGACGTATGCATAAAATTAAAAAATTTAAAGTACCTAGGGAAAACAAGAATTAAGTTATCGGAAAATACATACCAATATCCAACAGGTTTTTCTTAAATGGTCATCATTGAAAGCAGTAAATAAACCTCTCGACATCTCTTTAACACTAATGGTTGAATCAGAGCTTATTGCAAACTGTCTTCGGAATTGATTGCTTCGATTGGTAGTCGTCAGCGTTGTCCGTTTTCCCCATTTCCATTTGACTTTGCCACAGACATGCCTTTACAGATAACACTTTCCTCATATGACCTTTGAGAGGCTGATCTTTTACCAGAAGATTCACTTGTTGACTTAGAATTTATTTATTTATTTGAACACATAAATATTGGTATAGGGGGGCACCAAATGTATATGCGCCGCACAAAACAATGAGAATGGAAAGAAAAAAAGGTGAGGTGTGTTTAAGAAAAAAAGAAGAACAATAGTAACCACAGATTAGTATATGTTTGCGTAATAATAGGAATAATAATGGGGGAAACGGAAAGTTACAACCAGAAGAATTCTTCCAGTTAAGGAAGTTTAAACCACTATTTATAAAGAAAGTGAACGAAGGTTACAGCAGGATCGCCACTGGCTTCTATTGTGAGCCATATCTGACAACATCTCTAGAAATTGTGTTGCACCATCTCTCGGACCCCAGCCAGGGAATCGTGAAGGGCCAACAAAAGCCAGCCCCTAAAATGCCCTTGTACGGCCGAGGGTTGGGACAGTCAGCTCTCCATCCCGAAGTGCTCTTGTATGGCCACGCGGGTGCGGCGACTGTCAGGGAAGTCCTACTCACTGCCTTCTCCTGGTGAGGGTGTTGTTTACGAAATTGAGAGGATGAAAAGCGAATGTCCGGAGCTTTAACCGCATTGGTGGACACGGAGGGTCAACCTAATGGAGTTGGAAAACCCTGATTTCAAACCAATAGTGCACATGGGCTCTAGTATCCTGAGGGAACAAATGGTGTATGGACCAATTGTTGGTCACCGACTACCATTGAACTGCATCTTCTGACGTTGCTCCACTGTCTTGTAGATCAGACCTTTAAGTCAAAGGCTCCGTGTGGCCCCCAGGAAGACCACCTGCTTCAGTCTGGGCACCCGGGCAGTATCACAGTCTTCACACAAATAAAATGGAATGACGATATTTCCTGAAAATACTATTCCGGCTTCGATTAAAAGTCAAACAATTCAAATTATTATTCACCTCGTCACTTATTCACTTCCTTTTATTCGCAATTTGTGTATCCTTACTTTTCAACTTATACAACAGCTTGCCCATGGTGGAAACTCTATTCTATCTAAACGATCTGCAGTCACTGTCTGGTCGAAAGTGAATGCTTCCTCCGAATATAAATACTGAACCAGTCTTTCTGAAAACGCATGCACCGTTCAAACTGGCTTCCTTCAACGTTCTTACACTAATGCAGATCGGACAACAGATAGGGCTGGCTATTTCTTTAGAAAGTCTCAATATCGACGTTTGTTGTCTACCCGAGACCCGTATTCAAGACTCTAGTGGAGTACTGCAAATGGGATCTCCATCTGTCGCTTCCAAAGGTTTGTTTTACGTGCGTTTATCCGCGAACCCTGTGACATCTTCGCCTGGTCTTGCTGGCATTGGTATCGCACTAAGCGCTAGAGCTGAGGCAGCACTAATCGATTGGATCCCCATTAACAGTCGGTTATATGCTGTTAGATTAGAACGCTCCATCAAAGTGAGAAGAAATTGGCATGAGAAACGATACCTTTTTGTCGTCTACGCCTATGGCCCGACAGATTGCAGCCCGGATGTAATCAAGGATGAATTCTACTATCAGTTAACTGTTCTTCTCCAGAAGCTGCGTTCGACATATATTGTAGTACTAGTCAGAGACCTGAATGCACAGGTCGGGCATTTAGGCACAGAAGAGAGTCGTTTAGGTGGCCGATGGGGACGTGTTGGTCGCAGGAGTGAGTGTGTACGTGCCCTTTTAATATATGAACGTTATAAGACCGCCAATCAGAGAGCCGCAAATTATCGATTGGCACAGTGACACACGAAAACCATGCGAGAAGTCTAGAGTGCTTGTCAGTCCTGTTATCTGCCTAGCCCAGTCAAGTCCAGAACACCAATAACAGTCTCTGCCATACGAACCATTATTCTCAAACATACTGGGATTATATACCAATCAAACAGACCACACCGTACCATAAAATAGAAAATAACATTTGTACAAGATTTGGTCAAATGTGGCTGTGAATTGGGGGAACAGTAATTAATGAACATGGATAACTCAAGAATGGTAAACCGTATAATAATAGTTCATAGGTCAAAATAAAGCTTATAATAAGAGGGACACGGATACAAATATTTCAGTTACTTAACAATTATACAATAGGAAATATGCATATCACATTGGTCCATAAATAGTCCTCAAAGTTACGATTCATAATTCTCCACAGGATATAACACCTCCCCTTCTTTGAGAGATCCGAATTTTAAATTTCTCGAATTCATCTTCCCCCACAAAAGAGTGTTGGATCCTCATATACCCAAGTTACCATTAATGTGACATTATTTAAAACACGTTTGTCGCATTTAACAGAGAATCCACCAGAACTGACTAGATCGTGAGGAACGATGGCATTTGATTTGAGGTCACCAGTGTCTAATTCTTCTGAAACAGCTTCCTTGAATTTATTGGAAACCTCATTAGTAGATAGTGAATCATTGAAATAATCGGTATCTACGAAAACTGTATTGGATTCTCGACTATCATTTGATGAATATGACATATTTTCTGGTAAAACATGAGAATCTGAAGAATTAGATTCGCCAGAAATTTCTGTTTTAGAATGACGAGCTCCAATTGGTGCGGCTGCATTTAGTGTACTGCTCAATTTTTCTGTTTCTACATGGGTGGTTGCTGCAGCAATTTTATGGGTGTTTAACATGGTATTGTCTTTCTGTAAACTGGACAATTCATTGTTTGCACGTTCTGTTTCGAGGATAATAGGATTTTAACCAAGTATAGGGCACGTCTCCGAAACAGACAGTACCGGACTACTGGGTTGATCAAATGTGACTACTATTGCTTCGCTTGAGTTACTGTTTGTCACGGATTCATTGAGGCTTTCACCGGCATATTCATTCATTCTGCAATCAATTTCCAGTTCTGTGCGCAATTTTGAAATTAATGCGTCAACTTCCGTCGTACCCCAAATCATGGGTGATTCAGCAGCTTTGCGTGTAATTTGTCAATGAATTCCAACTGACTCTTCTTAAAACGCTGCTCTTGTCGCTGGAATAGCAACTGTAATTGATCGGAAGTTAGGGCCGTTTCTTTTTAACCGTATGACTGATGAGCAATGTCGTTCAAGGACAGCAACAACAAATCTGGATGCTGATTGCATGAAATAATAATCTGATTTTCGACCAATCGCAGACTGACTTTGGTTCGATTTTTTTTGACCCCGTCGCCAGTCGTTATATCTAGAGCTTTGATTTTTGCTATTCCGCGTATTACTAGACTACTGAACGATTAAACCCGCAACGTCGCAAGAGAGAAGACAGAAGACTAGTAAGTAGGAATTTTATTCCCCAAACAGTGTCAAATATAGCACAAAAATCTCATGTAGTTTTTTGGCTGAAAGTAAATCATCATTTCGGACAGCCAATAGGCACATAGGGGTCATTCTTATCCATCCAATAGGGAAGCTACACATCGACGTTCTAGAATGTTCCCCTAGTGGTGATAGGATGGAATGTCTTCGGCTCTTTCTCGGCTTCCTAGAGTTTGTCAATGAGCCATCCTTACAGTCTACTGCAATTATGCACAGACCACAACCTGTTTCTGGCTAGCACTAACTTCCGGCACAGTCATCGCCGATGCACTACCTGGCGTCCTCCCTCTGCATCTCAAGCCTGGACTCAAATTGATCACATCGCGATCAGCTACCGCTGGCGTGTGTACGTTCCCTAACGACTTTATCTCTGTATGGCGGTGGCTTATGGTAACTTTTAGCGGTGTAATTTTGTACTATGTTCTTTTTTCGTGATTGACTGAGTGATGATTGTGTTGTTGAACAAAGTGAAGACCTATTCACAAACTCACGTCCATTAACTGTCACTTCATGACTTTTAGAATAAACTAACTCTTGCTCTTTGGAAATATTTTGTTTCTTTCGATGGAGTATCTCTACGGTTTTTTTTCTTCCAGGCATCTTCTATGAAGGAAGAAAACCTTCAGATCAACTGCAATTCTCCAGCTAAATTACCTACAAGGCTGCCTACATTACCCGGTGTTTCTGTTGTCCCTGGACCATCACCAAGCACTTCAACGCAACCATCACTGCCTGTAGATCGAAAACCTCGTGGTTAACATGTTTTTAGTTTCTTTAATTGATGTTGTTAAAGGCTTGACACAAATATGGTTTGGTATAACACTATTTTTTATTTCGATAAGTTTACTTAGCCATCCAAACATGATGTACACTGAAGTCTTGTTTTACTTACTAATGTAAAATTATTGACTCTTCTTGTTTATATATATAATTTTTTTCTACTAAAAATTGACTTTTATTCACGCCTTTTCCGTAAATTTCTATCTTTACCAACTTGTTTAATTCCATTAAGAATAGATAATCATTTACGAACATATTCATTTATCTATTTTTAACAGGTTGTAACACTCATTTACTCAGACTAGTGAATTTCAAGCATAACTTTACTGCTGCGTTTCATAAATAGCATTGAGGTGTGTGAATCACACTTAGAATAATAGGCAAGACGTTATAATAGCTTTGATTTTTATTTGTGCTACTTATTTTTAGCAAGTAGTAAAACTATAATCATTGTTTTTCCGTATCACGTGCGTAAAAATTCTGAACTAATGTGTCTTGTTGATAACCATACTTATGAATCAACCTCTTTCCGTGACTACCTTCAATCATAATACTTTCAAACAGCGAATTGAAGTTAAACTTTCACAATCATTTCGTTTAATTTTGGCAGATATCGTTACATTATTATTATTAATGGCTTTATTCAATATTATAATCTGGTACAATATAGAATTCTTAGCACGAGTTATTTCAACAAGTTTTTTTACCAAAAAAGAAACAAAACAAACAAAAAAACAGAACAGAAATAAAAAAAAGGCTTAAGAAAATCTGAGTTTATACAAATTATCGAATTTGAGACATGCTTAAGAATACAGGTTATTTACTAGGTCATCTCTAACAGCCTGTTCGTCACAAAGTAAATTTGCTAGGTAAGGTATTACAGAACTTTTATAGACTTGCTTGTGTGCATGGATTTTAATGTATTTACGTCTCGTTCTACCAGAAGATATACAAGGAGAAAGATATGAATGAAGCGGATGGTTAGTATCTGATAAGATAACACCTGCCAAGAGTTTGCAAGACTTAAGATGTCTATCCACAAGCATATTAACAATGACCAAAAGATTCACCACATACCTTGGAAACTGCCTTCAGCACTCTCTACAAAACAGCAAAGTCTTTTCTCAAAAGCCCGGGAAAGAATAATGGAGAACAATATAAAATAATAGGTAATATGCAGGATTTACAAATTGTAAGAGTAAATGGCGAGTAATCCCAAAAGCATGCAGCCTCTTTATGTAGTATGTCAAACGGTAAACTTTTTTCGATAACAGTAAAACATGAGAAGACCAAAAAAGATCAGAGGAAAAAATGACACCAAGATATTTGACCTTCGACACTGTGTTTATTAAGGAGTCTCCAATGGCACAAGCATTATGGGATCCCAAAATAGAGTATAGGTTCTGTCCATGTCCCAAGCTAAGACTAACAGCTTGACATTTAGATGGATTGAGTAAGAGACCATTACCAACAGACCACCTTTCAATACGAGATAAAAACTCATTCATTTCTATGGGATGTAAGGAGGTAGAAATCGGCATACATACAGTGAGGTCGTCCGCATATTTTACAAAAGTGTTTTCTGTGGAAGATGGCAGATCATGCAGAAAGAAAGAGAAGAGCAGAGGTGAAAGAACAGCTCCTTGTGGCACACCTACAGTAGATAGTAGAGATGTTGAACACTTTCCTTCAAATACAGTGTACTGTTCTCTTCCAGAAAGGTAGGAACGTAGCCAATTGGTTATCCAGCTGTCAGTGTCGATGCTGATCAGCTTGTTAAGTAAGAGGTGTCTTGGAATAAAAGCAGAAGTAAAGTCCAGGAAAGCGCATCTAACATACTTCTTACCCTTTTCCAACCCGAACACTATATTGTGATGCAGAACAGCAATGGCATCTAATGTGCTTCTTTTGCATTTGTAAGCAAGCTGATATGGATCATAGTGCTCTTTTATTGCAGGTTGAAGTGGTTGCATTAGTAACTTTTCCATTATTTTGAGGAAAGGTGAGGTTATTGCTATGGGTCTAAGTTTCACATTTTTATCACCAGAAACTTTCTTTGTTATAGGGATTATCTTTATCTTTCTCCACATTTTCGGTAAGACATTAGTTGAGAAGGATCTGTTAAAGATATTCGTTAATGGATAACATAAAACATCAGCACATTTTTTAAAAAGGAGGTTTGGGATACCATCAGGTCCTAAACATTGGGATGAATTCAGAGACTGGAGACATTTCCGTACATCATTTTCAGTGAAACTGGGGACACATTTGGATCTGTTTTACGTTAACAATTCTTCGTACCCTATTTGGATTTATTTTCCAAGATAATGATTTGATTTTGATGTGTTAGGAGCTTTAAAGTAATTTCTTGCCAGTGAATATAAGTGGTTATAAGTATTTTCATCGATGATCATTCCGATGCATATCTTTGTTTGAATTTCAGATTGCAATCATCTTTTTACACAGCATAATACTAGTTGATTCATATTTGAGTAATGTGTTTATAGGAATACGTATTGCATAATAACGGCGATGAACCTCTTAAATGTATATCACTAAGCTAAAAGTTACATCCTTCCTCAATTAGTTCGCAGTTTGAATCCAACTTCAATTTGTTTTAGACATCTGGGCATCAATCGCTTTGTAAACTCATTGTGGTGTACTAAGAAACGATATTAATTTTTCTATAAAGAGATAAATGAGAGGTTGTTAATATATCATAGTAAAGTCTTTGCACAATATCCCCATATACTTAAAGAAGTTGAGCATTTTGGTCAAGTGAATTGTAGTTTGGTCTTATTGTTTTCTAATCTCACTAATTTGTTGGGAGAGCGGGGTTGTAGCTGAACCTCATCAACTACATCTCTTAGTGCCTTGGCCTACTTCATTTGACAAATATTCCCTCTTAAGAGATGTATCATCTGCTCTTGATAATTAATAGGTTGAAGAAAAGCTGATAGGAACAAGTTATATCTCATTAATATGGTTCGATGGTTAAATATACCGTAAAATCTTTTAAACTAAATGGCTTTGTCAACATTTTATTTGAAGTAGTAAATTCAATCTGTAGTTTGGTTTTGCAAATACTAATGTCTGATTGGTCGTTGATTCGTAACTAACATAACATGTAATCGTTAGTGCTGATATAACCTCAAATTATGATGCGATAACTAAAAGCTTAGCGGCTTAACATTATGGTACAATTTGTCTAATGTTATACAGTTGTTGTCACCAATCTCTTTCGTGCTTATTGATATTCATCAGTACAGTGTATTTGGAATTTTGATGATCCCCATCGGATTCAAAAACAAGTGCACCAGGAATTCAATCCACTTACTTTGATGCTCACGTTTGAAATTGAGCATTATTAAAGGTAAAACATGGTGTTGATTAATACTCAGTAACCAGTAAATATAAACATCTCATATTATCATTGGGCAGTCGGAATGTAGTAATCTACACTTTAAACTTGAATAAAGTTATATTGCAGCCAGACTGATCTTTAACTGTAAGAAATTAGCTAACTTTCCATATGATTAACTATACAGATCGCCGAAATCTCTTTTAGAGAGACAATCATCAGCTCTCATAACTATTAATTTAATGATTTCCAGGAAGATTTGAAATTAATTGATGTCCATTTTTAATCCTAATAAATTGTTTTTTTTGCTACATAGTTTTCAATATTTCGCCTACCGAATATCATTTTGTGTTATAACTTAACTTTGAGTTCAACCTATTTGTCTTCTGTTACTTTGTGTTTAACTTTCTTCATAATTGTGACTAGATCAACTTAAAATGATTGCATAATCAATCACTGTTTTCACTTGCTACCATATTAGAAATTTAATTGGTCAGTCGATATTCCATCTTATTATTTATCCAATGTTTGAAATAAATGTGGTTAAATAAATCAAAAAAAGGAAAACTTATAAAGTTCACTTATGAAATGTGACTAGTTGACCTTAGATAACAAACTCTCATCACCTTCATTTAGACAGATTGTTTGTGATTTTTCTTGCGAGAAATATTGATATCGAAAGTTTATTGATTTGAATAGAAGGAAAAAATTGAAAGCAGAACAATATAAAAACTAATAAAAAAATAATAAGAGTAGGCTGAGTGGAAAAACACACCGTTTTTAAACTGATCATCATTGCCCAGAAGTTTATCATTCTTTAATCTAACATTATATATATGTAATATTATTATTCCATCTGTTCTCTAAAATCAGAGTAATACATTCATTTTATATATATATACTATACTAGCTTACATGACAGTTAACACTTGTAGAGTTTTGTATAAACAATGCGCGTGTGTCACGATAAGACCAAAATTACTTCATAAGATGAAGTGAAAATAAGTAAGAATAACAGTAAAATTACTAATCAGATATAATGAACAGATGTAACACAATACACAACATCTTTAACATTCAAATATAAAAGAAAGAAGAGGAGATTATGATGATAATGTAATTCGATAAGAACATATGAGTTTGAAATGAATTAGGATAAAATAATAAGTTTGTGAAATATTGGATCACTACATTAAAATTAATAATAATATAAAATATTCAACTTCATTTATTGTCTTGTAAATCTGGTTTTTTAAGTTGTGAAAATGTTCAGATTTCCATACGAGATTTAAGTCATAACTTTCATATCTATCATGACAAGAACAAGATACTTAAGATATTCATTAGTTCATTGACACTATCCAGTAGTTGTAATATTTTAATATTGTTTAATAATGTGTTCTTTTCGATTATTCTCCAAATAATAGTAATTGATAAAATTGGATTTTAGCTAACGCGTCTTTCGACCTATCACATTCTTCAGATGCAATTGCTCATATCCCATTACTGATGTTCGCATTACGTTTAGTAACTTTCACTCTAAATCGCAACTCGTTATCTACTAAGCTACTCAGTCCAAAAATAGACATCAATTTGTTTAGCGGATATGAAGGTAGA